ATAAGCGGCGCTAACTCAAAACTGGCGCGTCGGCTTGAAGCCTAAGGCACCGTTAAAGATCAAAGAGGCGGAGTACCAGTCGGTACTTTTGTTTTGTAGCACCTGTCTTGTCTTCTTCGTTATATAAACTCTATCCCCGGTTTCGTAACGTCAGATTGCTTGTGAGAAAGCCGATATTCAGCGGGGATGTTGTGCATTATCCAGTAGCCTTAATTGTCAGGGTTGTTGTCATAACGCAAGCCTTCTACTTCGAAGCATTCGGATTTCTGATAATGCCATGATCTTTTCCACTACGCCTACTCTTGCGCATTTTCGTTCATCGTCGTAATTCTGATTTTAGGCATATATGTATGCTGCCCCGTACGTAGTCCAAGTTCGTATTCACACCAATCCAAAGTGCGGACTTAATCCCGCAAACATATCACCTACCATATCAATCGATGGAGACTTATTTTTTCTACCTTCGTGGTACTTGAATACGACTTGCATTCGTATTTCACTTTCCTAGGCTTGTATCATTACCAAACGGTCCCGTCTCCTCTGGAGCTTGTAACCCCCCAAGCACGAGGGACAGTCCCAAAATACGGGCCTGTACTGCCCCATTGTATGTATTTTTGTAGACGGGATTGGTCCCGAAGGTTACAGTCTGGGCAACGGCATAAATGCTGTCAACACGAGGAAGGTGGTGATCTCGGCTATCGATTGGTATGATCTGGATCATGGAAGAAGAAAACCGGCGGTTTGGCAACTCCATTTCATCGGCAGGAAGGATAGACATGTGCTGTTAACCGTTAGAAGGGTGACAGAAAAACCTGCAGGGAGAAGGAAAGATTCACAGTAATTGTGGGTCTTAACTACGTCACATATAGCCAAGGCGTCCTTAGCCTATCAGGAGTGAGCGAGTGAGACATAATGAACCGCACCTCATTGGCGCCAAGGCATTAGTGATGTCTTGGTGTTCTTGGTATCGTGATTGGCTCCTATCCAGGGGGCGGTGTTTGATTTCGACGATGTTTATGGAGTTGTGGGAATGATGTTTGGTGGGCGAGGAGTAACGAGGGTATGTGTGGTGTGTGGTATGTATGGGGTGTTCATAGGTTGTCACTCGATCGATTGGCAGGCAGCCCGTTACTGTGGGCAAGGGGTGGTGCTTGCTGGTGCTTGCTGGTGCTTGGTTGCAAGTCAGGTGCGTACGTCATAGGATAGGTTCCATGATCTGCGGCTGGCCTCGCTGGGGATTGGAGTCTCGTAGGAAGAGACGAGGTCTCATGTTGACGTGGGTGGTTTCTTGAGCAGCCATTTACGTCGAGTGGCGAATCCAGTACTGGATCTACATATACTGGCTGTTGATGAGTGTGTTCGTCCTATCAGTACGTCATCTGGCTTCATGAGTACTCACTCGATGCTGAATCTTTTTCAACCCCGAATGCTAGTGATTGATTGATTAAATGGTTATATAGATCAATCCATGAGGTCCGAATATTCTGCACTGGTTTCTTTTAGGAAAAGAGAGATGCGGGCCTGGGCTTTTCGGGAGAAATAAATGGGGTACTCTAAAATGGTGTTTAGGAGTCGGCCCAGAAGATAACTGCGCAAAAAGGAAAAGAAGAACGAATGGTAATTTATAGCTCTGATCATGGTGTGTATACTGGTACGCCACTTGTCGTTTTCACAGGATACTTGTCTGTCGGATTCCGCTAAGGCCACGGTGATTAAGAGATGGATTCAATACTGGCCAGATAAGCCGGTCTAAGGGTTGATACTTTGTATAGGAAGTTGGTTTAGAAACGGCATTAACGGCTACAAGAAGCCCCCGATTCCACGATCATCTCCAAAATTCGTCGTTCGAGATATTCATGCCCGCGAACCATCAAGTCCGAATCACTAGCGAGCAGGGCCCCAGACCGGAGAAGAGAAATGGTCAGAGCCTATTGTCTCGATCATCGGTCGGCCCGATATTCCAGGAGAAAGCTACTCCAACAAACCCGACATGCTGGTTTGTCACTCGGAGGAGGTTCATGGATTATCACTCTGATGGAGTCATGGGTTATCACTCGTTTAGACCACGCTGATCTTTTTTGGTTTTTTTTGGTTTTTTTTGGTTTTTTTTGGTTTAATTCATTAATTGCATGCAACCTTACAGTTATGGAAATACTCTGATCTTTTGATGATTAGAGCGGGGGTTTTCGCATAGCGGGAATGATTAAAGTCATGCATACAGACCCACATGTGCCGTATGTCATATTTTCTACGGAGACCTCAGATAATTATAAAAGGTTGCATCAGACAACGCCAATTGGTGCATTTGTCAGACAATACGCTCTAGGCATACTTGGCGAGCAAAACCTCATTTTTATTCTCTGTTTGTTTATAAATTGGATTCGCAGTCTGCATGCGCATATCCGGTACGTCGGAGAGTGCGGAACCTCTCTACTCTGCGTGAAATTATGCGTGGTCCACCTTTCGATAAAGGTAGCTATAGGTGCGGATGTGGATACCGACAGATCTTGCAACCTCCCCGTTTGTTTGCCTCTACTACTACTAACTTCTACGATAAAGAGATAGAAAAGGCACCGTTGGAGTAGTAAAAATACCTAGAGAGGGGTATGGGTAGTAAAGAGATAGAGAGGAATATTAGTAGTAAAGAGATTGCTATAGAGAGGGTATAAAGAAGCCTCGTCCCGCCTATCGTCCTACCTATCAACCACCAGCACCTACCATTACGAGAACTATCACGATGTCTATCTCAAACAAAACAGGCTGGGAACGAGACTATATCACTACCACTAACAATCTTCGCACGAAGATGGGGTTGGGCTGGTGTGCGTTAATTTGTTTTTCTGGAGAGGAGAGGTTTATTTTTTGCGTTAATTCGATCTGTATCGTAATGTCGAGCGGATACTGAATCAGTAAAAAAAACACATTCTCTCTAGAGGGTTATGGGCGGTAGCCCTAGTTGGTGTATATAGGAGGGCCTGTAATCCGTAGGTATTGTGCTCCTCGTAATCGGCCGAGTGATATATTGTGATTTAGACTACGGAAAGGGACCCTTTTTCTTTTATTTGTTTAATTCATTAATTGCATGCAGACCTTAGTCTATGGAAATATCACACTACCCCAGAACTACCCTACATCCACCGCCATCTCAACAAAAGAAATAAAATAAAATAAAGAAAAGCAACTATTTAGAACAAACAATTTTGATTCTGTCTCTCCTTCCATCTTCCCTCCTACGGCCAAAAATAAACCCTTCGTACCCTGAATATCGATCTAGAGCCCTGAATACACTTCCTGGAAGCTTAAAGGTGCCTGTCTTGTCCCTATATACCCATGACTGTCATTCCTGTGGTCTCTTCCGTCCCAGGCCTGTCCAGAAATATGAATGCCTCATTTTCACTGTACCGAAACCATGCCCACCCCGCAAGCGTATATTGTTCTCTGTTGTTGCTGTTCCACCCGTTGACTACGGAAAGGGACGCGGTTCTTGGTAAAATAACACATCTACTACACTATAAAAGAAAAAGCTTCACCCTGCATCCGGCCCTGTCCATGGGGAGACCGGGCAGAGACCTGATCGATATCACACTGAACCTACGAGGCGAAGGCGAGCCAACAATCTCCAGAAAATGTCAATAAATTTACAAAAAGTCTTGCTGGAGAGTATGCTTTTCAGGGTGGTGGAGTGCCATTTATTACACATAACGCCAACATTATAATTATAGACTCCCACGTACCCCTCAAAGTTAAACCCACGACCTACTGATGGTCATATATGGGGACCCAACCCACTCGGTGTCCTCCGTTGACGAGGCGTCTACCACTAGACTAGTCTCGTACCCAGCCCGCTACTTGCAGCAAGCTGCTCGCAGTGCGTGGAAGGAGACGGGTTAGGGACGAGCCCACCGCTAGACCACACTCGCCCACACAACGTTCAGTAGCCCGGAGGCAATGCTTAAGGGGGCGAGGGTGAGAGGAGCTAGCTAGGGAAACCGAACCCTGCCATGGCAATCCACCACGACGCACTTGCCAGTGTCCAGCTGCTTCTTCCTCATCCGGGAATATTAATACGGGAGTGCTACGGAGCAACGGCCCTAAAACTTCGTGGATTTGACAGCTGTTTGGCGAGATGAAGCCGTTGCGACTCTTGCATATCAGGGAGAATACATGTAGGTTCGCTGGACACAAGAGAACATCCGGCAAGTACATCATCATCACCCTGATCTTGTAGTTCAGAAAGACATACGAACCATCAGCCTCCGCACTGCACTGTAGGCTACATGCATTCAATGCAACCCCTGCGAACAGTCAAGGTTAAAACAATGGTCCTCAGGGCCTTTATCAGACACCCCATCCAGTTCGGCATTGCTGGTCAATTTGCACTGGCCTGTGGTTTTATAGCTCGAGACACGAAACAAGACCAACCCGACTTGAATTATCAATCAATCAGACCATTGCAACCCGACTGCCACACGCCCGGTAACTTATCCCCGCCGACTAGCCGTAATATATAATAAAGAGTAAGGGAAATCCCCCCCCTTTTCCATCTCATCTCAGATTCCCCGATTCCCTGTTTTCTTGACCTTTTCTCGCCCCTTAGCCCCAGAGCACACTGCACTGGTCGTCTCATGTGTCTGTCTACTCACGCTTACTACGACGACGATGATGGTGGTGATTGCTAACTACAAGACAGGGAGGAAATCTAGGCCTATATTCTTTGTGCCCACTACTGTGCTATCTAATCCACGACCAGGCTTCGGGGCGTGTTCCCATCAGTCTTGCACCGGTTTGATTGCTTGCCCGATAGATCTTCTTTACCGATTGTTCTCAACTGAGATCAGGGCCATCAGCCTGCCAATTGTCGGTAGGAATGCCAGCTGGTTAATAACCTTCACAGAACTAGAAGAGACGCTTTTTCCAGATTCAAATTCAAATTCAGGAAAACAACTGGCTAATTGATCATACATAGGAACACACACCGCTAAAGATGATGATAATGATGATTACAACTTCGACCCGGCCTCCAACTTTCTAATCGCCTTCCTATAATTCTTCACCAACTCCCTCACCCCCAGATCCAACATCACGTCCTCGCTCCCACCCGGCACCACCGTCCCCGGCACATCCCTATAGATCCTCTCCACCAGCTCACCTCTCCCGCTCCTCGTGAGCCCATTCCCGCCCAGCAGCACCACCGCCGTGCCCGCCGCCTCCGCCAGCACCATCCCCGCACTCGCCTTAACCAGCGCCAACACCCCACCCATATCCTCCTCCCCCTGCCGCATCCTCCACGCCACGCTCTCGACCCACGCCCACTGGCTCTCGACCCTCGCCCCCACCTTCGCCAGCCGGTGCCTCACCACCGCCTGCTCGATCAGCGCCTTCCCGAACGCCTCGCGCGCGAGCACATACTCGAGCGCCGCGCTGACGGCGACGCGGGCCTGCCGCGTGGCCGCGATGGCGATGGACAGCCGCTCGTGGTTGAAGTTGGTCATGATCATCTTCATGCCCTGGCCCTCGGCGCCGATGATGTTCTCGCAGGGCACGCGCACGTCCTCGAGCGTGATGAACGTGGTCCCCGACGTGGCCATCCCCGTCACCGTCAGCTTGCGCGCCGTCACGCCGGGCGACTGCAGCGGGATCAGCAGCAGCGAGAGGCCGCCGGGCCCGGGGCCCCCCGTGCGCACGGCGGTCGTGGCATATGTTGCCCAGATCCCGTTCGTGATCCTACACCACCACCACCACCACCATATCAGCACTCGACACACCAAAAACCAGCCAGTCAGGAGGTTGATATAGAAGCGCACCATTTCTTCTGCCCGTTCACAATATACTCCCTCCCATCCTCACTCTTCACCGCCGTCGCCTCAATCCCCGCCACATCGCTGCCCGCCCCCGGCTCCGTAATCGCAATGCACGCCCTCGCCCTCCCCGTCAGCAAGTCCGGCAGCACACGCTCCTGCAGCTCCCTACTACCATACTTAACGATCGGCGGCACGCCATACGCCATCCCCGTCGTCAGCGACGCGCCCGGCCCCGCCAGCCCGCTGCGCGCCATCTCGTCTGCATGGATCAGGAAATGCATGTAGTCGAACTCCTCGACGGGCAGGCCGCCCAGCAGCGTGTGGATGCCGAGCCGCTTGAGCCAGGCGATGGGCAGCGGGCCCGGCAGCGTCGGGATCAGCATGTGTGCCGCCGAGAAGGTGTCGAAGACCGAGGGCGGCACCTCTTCGGCGCGCTCCCACTCGAGCGCGTGCGCGGTTAGGTTGGCCGTGATGAAGTCGCGGCAGGCTTTCTGCCATTTGAGGTGTGAGGGGGTGTAGTAGGGGTTTGGGGCGCCGGTGAGGTAGGCGGGTTCGGAGAAGGGGAGGGGGACGGGGGTGGTCATGGCTGGCTGGCTGACTGGGTAGCTGGTGGTAGGTATGGTCGGTATGGTGTGGTATGGTGGGGAGTTGGGAGGTAGATATGTAGCTGTGGACAGCTCGGAGCTGGGAGAGCTGGAGCTGGGAGAGAGCTGGCTGGGTGTTTTGTGGAGATGTGGGGAATCCTTGTTGTGCCCAGGGCTGAAGCACAGACGCGTTGCCGAGGATGCATGTGACTGGCTGGCCGGCGGTCTGATAAACAGAGAAACATCTCCAGTCCACAGCTACTAACGGTTACAGAAACACTTTCTCTGGCGATATTCACGCTCACTCTGTGAGAATATGCTGTTGAAAAGCCTCGAGGTTGATGATACTGTGTGTCGAGTGATTGCCTGTGACGCGGATGATCGCCAGCCTGCCGGGTTTGGAGTTCATCGTGTTGGTGGGTGAACCAACCATTTGATACATTATGGACCTGGCGGGGGGAGTAAGATTTTACCACACTCTCAGTCTAACATTTAGCACATACAAAAAGCCGACCCATACGTACAGAGCGCTAGCACATATTTCTAAAAGCTCTCAGTATTCTGAACGGCCCCACTAAAAGGATATCTATAACCTGTAAGATACAGAACCGCATAATGCATATACTAAGTTCTGCCCATTGTAAATACGGTTTACACTGAGCCGATTAAGACCACTATGGTAGAAGCCAGCCCCGAAAGACTAACTTACAAACTCCTATAAAAGAGATATATAACCTGTACCCTCTCTTTTCATACTTAAGGGCTCTATATATAAAGAGAGGCGCTCCCGCTAGGACTAGCACAGTGTGACGAGTGATATTCAGTGATTGAACTTCAAGACTCGGTATGGGATTTATCCTAAGAGTACAATTAATCATCCAAGTGCAGCGTTCAAGGGTCCCTTTGAAGATCTCTTTGCTAAGAAACTAATGAAGGCAAAGAGATAGAGGCGGAAAAGGCCACTCGTGGCATTGAATTGTTAATGATATCTACATGAACCATACTACTCGAGTATAGTTAGAACCTACATAAAAGGCTTACAATCCACACAAACGAGAAGTCATCTCGCCTCAATACTCCCCATTACCCCCAATTACCTCACGCTTCTCTTCCGTCTCCCCCTCCCCCTCACCCCCATCCACCCCCTCCTCCCCAACCGCATACAGCACCATCCTCCCCACCGGCACCGTCTCCCCATCAAACACATACACGCCCCCCACCCTCCACACGCCCCCCACCTCCGCTCTACAAAACCGGTAAATCTGGTTCGCCATCTTCCCCGCATCCATTGAGCGCATGACCGTGTCCTGCGGGCCGCATATGGCCGTATACGCCGTCCCGCTCTTGGTCAGGTCCGTGCAGAAGGGGTCCGACGACTTGTCCTGCACGGCGGGGCGGTAGAGACGTGCGCGGAGGGACTGGATGGCGCTGATGGCCGGGTCGACGCGCGGGGAGGCGGCGGTGGTGGTGCAGAGGACGTAGCCGCGGAGCATGGCGCTGAGGTCGTAGAGGTGTGGGGGTGGGGTGGCGAGTGTGAGGGGGAGAAGGGGGAGAATGGGGAGGAGAAGGCTGAGGAGATTCATCTTTGTTTTTGTTTTTTTGGAGAGCTTTGTGCTGATGTGTGTGGGGTATGTGGAATGAGATGCGGAATGAGGGAAGTCGGAAGATGGAGGGGCTTTGTAGGTATATGTACATGTCCTCGACCTTGTATATAGTAGCTGTCTTCATGATATCTGGCCCCGGACCACTGCCATATATCCATACATGCACAGTACAGTAATGATTCTCGAAATCGAAACCTCAAGTTGATTGCCCATATGCATCTACAGTCGAATCTCCCTATAAGGGCACGGAAATACCGCGATGTCGTACCCTTATAGAGCAGTTACCCTTATAGATATTTCGGGGTTAGGTTTGGCAGAGTAGAATGTTCACTTTTGGGAGTAAAGCGTTCGCGCAACACTGAATTCGGCAGAGTGGGAAGTTCGCGGAACTTCACTTTTGGCGGCTAAACCATCACTCTTTGGTGACGGAACTTTCAGTTTTTGGCAGTGCAACTTTCAATGTTGTTAGCAGAACATTTTTCACTTTTTGAGGGCGAAGTGCCCCAACCTCCACTCAAAAGTTACTCTCTCTATAAGGGTAATACACCAAAAAGTTTGAAAATTTACTAAGGGTACATGTATTCTTATAGCAAGAACATGAGCATTTACCCTTAGTACTACATACTAAAAAAAAGTAGCCTGCGGACCGGGCTCCTTACAAGGCGAGTATTCTTATAGAGGGTGCCCTTATAGCGAGATTCGACTGTATCCAGCTAGCTAGGCAATCCGAGTTTCCGCCATGCATCCCGTCTTACGGTCCGGAGATAAGCACCCAATCCCTAGATGTAGTCTCGATAAACTCAGAAAAACACACCTTTCCCCATAATTCGCATCACAACCCCTCACTCGACCCGCCACCGCTGCAAGGCGGAATCCAACCCACGGGACCCGTGTCCCCAAGCTAGCATGTGGCCCCAGATTAAGATAAGATCCCGCTTACGTGACCTGTTGTCGTGCCCCTGTCTAGAGAATCTGCAGTATAAAAAGGCACCCCTCCCGTCATGCTCAACATGTAGCAATTGCAATCGGTCTCGCGCCCCGCCCCCCCCACCCCCACATCAAGGCGTAGCTACACCCAGTAGTACAGGAAGAAAGAAGGCCACTTGCCGAGTCAGTGGATTCCGAACCTGTTTTTGCTGCTGAACTATACGAATTTGCAAATATGTGGGTGGCCGGTGGTGTTTGGATGATGGAAATGGCGATGGACCGTAGAGAAATGGAGGGGTTGTAGCGATCGATCGACGTTATCCGCCGGCTAGTGTGAGTCTTGGAGATGTATGGGGATTTGACTATGCTCTCTCGCTCTGGGCCTACAATTCAGATCTGTGTAATATATATATATTTGGGCTTTCTTACATGTCTTAGAGACAAAGTAGTTACGTTGTGTCTGGCGGTACGTACAAATGGAGGACATGCCTCTACTGCGGTGCAGCGCCCTTTCCTCCTCTAGAGAAATCAAAGATCAAAATATTAAGCCTCCTAATTTATTTCACTATAAAAAGGAACAAAAGGTACTGCAACGACTTATTAGTTATTATCCATTGAGCGTTACTACCCCCACCCCCGGTTTGAACCCAGGACCTTTGGTATCCTGAGAGCAAACACGCGGTGTCTAACCCGACGAGCAGTCTAACCACTAGACCACTCGCCCATAGTGGATACTGTGCTGGAAGTAATACTTGAGCTTGGCAATGTGCCAAGATGAAGCAGAATCCCTAACCCTTCACATTTTTTTCATTCTAGATCATGATCATAGCAAACTGTTGTCTTGCATCATGTATTATTGCAGAGCACGTCTACCGAAAACTGCGTCATTTAGAACTTTACGTTCTTTATTTCATCGGTATCCCTAAAAGAAAAAGAATATAAACTCGTGAGTGAGTGAGAAGCATTATATCCAGCCAGCAACGATGTAGTCCAACATACGCGAGAAACTAGGCAAGATTTGAAGATGCTTTCTGAGTGAGTGGGTTAAGCTTCGAAGCTTGTCGCGACCGGGACAATATTTCGACGTAGCCTTGCTAAACAGCAGGCCTTTTTGGGATATTTAGTATTCTGAGCTCCGTGAAGAAGGTAAGCCGGGAAACTTTGGTCGTCACACGCCATCACTCGCCGCACTCAACCGGCTCTACGGCACCGGCCGCGACAAACCCGCAGCCACCGCCATTGCATGGTCAAGACCAAAAAAACGATTTATCTTGGTTTTAGGAGCAGAATAATCTCTTTTTTTCACTCAATTTATGTGTCCCCGAACGAATAAACCATCCTAACCGCAGTTTTTAAGATGGTTTAGCAGCATCCGTAATTAGACCTAAGGTGCCCATTTTTGTTTTTCAAACATATCAGTGCCAGCTCGAGACATTGAAATAGGGATAAATTAGAATGACCATCCCGTACGTAGCTCTAGTGATTCTCAAAGATTGGTTACTTTTCTATCTTAGATGCTGGGGGTATGTCTGATAGGTTTGGCGTTAGGGTATTTCGGAGCGCGGTTTTTGTAGGCTTATTAGGACCGGCACCCATAGAGCTCTGTACTACTGATCATGACCCCAAGGCAGAGCAGCGAAAGTTCACGCACAATCCTTGGCATCAGATCTCTTTATATATCGCCCGACTTTCCCTTCCTTCTCTACAACTATATAACTATGGCAGCTCTACCCTCTCCCCTCAAAGGGGGTGCAACAAGTATAGTCGCCACCACCCCCCCCCCCCCAACTGTATTTCCCCTGCTCCGTCTCCCACCCCGCTCGTTGTGGGCCCTCAATGAGGGCTCACAGCAACGCACTTCAATCCTCCCCCGTCTTAAGGGGGGGGGGGGGGGCTAATGTGCGTTAATTCGTTTTTTTGCCTCTTCCGGGCCGTAGGTTTCCCTTGCCCTCTGATCTCCATATGAAGAGCGGGGGGTTTTTTGCGTGAGGTAGTTCTGCGCCCCTCCCCTTCGTATGAAGTGGAGGGGGCTTTTTTCCGTTAATTATAATTCGGTCTGCGCTGCCCCTGGTAGGCCTTGGGTGGAACCGAGGGTCTGAAAGGCGCAGAGGAATTATCTCAACATTTTGTCTTGAATTTTATTAGATAAGAGGAATGTAACACGCAACCTGTGTTGATTTTAGTTGCTTGCGGCGAAAATCCCCCGCGAGTGATGGTGCGTTATATCTTCATGAATTATCACTCGATCCGGCGACACTCCGCGATTGCTCCATCCCAACAGAAGAGGGGTCGCGAACTCATTCTTTCCAAATCTTAGCACCGAATTAGAATTCTAGGTCATATGCTCCACAACCGCGACGTGACTAGAGATCCGTTCATAGATTAGCACTCGACTGACTCGTCCAGGGTGGCCTGCATTTTTCGGTGACAAGATGGGGGGCACATGTAGCCGCCATGTGCCACGAGCCGACCGCAAGGGACACCCGAAACTCCCGCCATATCAAGTCATATTGAAAACGCCACCACGGGTTCTGATACTGGGACTTGGGATGTGGCTCTGCTACCTGGGTCACGTCAGGACTCTTTTGATCGGCTGTCTTCCCCCGCCGGTATATGGAAGCCATGAAGAAAGGTTCACTGTGTATGATACCCGGTTAGAACCCCTCCGAATATCTGAACCTGGATATGCTGTACTCGGTATGACAGACAATACGTACATGTATATCAAGCCATAAACCGACTGGCCATCCGTCCACTTTATCCGGCCGGTCAGCCCAATAAAACCTAGCTCGGTGTAGATAGAATCGACCTGATTAGAGAAAATATGCTCTCGGGTTCAGTCACGTTTATGATAATGGGTAACCTGGAACTGACCTCGATCGACTTGACTTTGTGCTCTGGGATCTGGCGTCGTTTGGAAACATGTGGAAGGCCGGAATCATGGAATCCCGTAGATCGCTGCTAGTGTCCGCTGCTGCATGTCGTGACTACAGATTTACGCGGCACGGGACTTGGCGAACACCTTAAATCAGATGTAAGTACGTAAGAACAACTCCTCAAGCCAAACTTTATCTCTTCCTCCCTTTACCCATCACGAAACACCAACTTCTTGCCTTCATCCCAATTTATGAATGCACTGCAATGGACGGAATGTGCTGAGATAGAACCATAACGAAGTCCGTCCTCGCTATGAGGCTCCAACTATATACCGGGTACGAGAACAGTCCTCCATTTATGTCTGACGAAGTTATCTAACTAGAAGCAGCTATACATGCTAATGATCACATCATATTATACCGATTTGAACATAGATGTTGGTTCGCACGTCCCTCAGTCACCTCTACTTGGCCCATAATGGAGCCTTCACTACCTGTGTGATATCCTCAGAGCCGTCGAGCAGTTTTGTGGGCAGATTTTAGCAGCCCTCATCAATTTCTATATCTCTGAGAAGGGATCATCACTATATATTCCAGGGGCTCTAACTGCCCCTACGTGTAATAGGCATCAGGCCCACCGTGATAAGCCTTAAGGTCAGAGATACCAAACAAATCCGAGATTTCTCAAGTTGATTTGGGCCATCTACTACTATTTACATGGTGATAGATGTCGAACTACCTCGCCTATTATGGCATTATCTAAAGTGGCTTATCCAAGTCTTATCTCGTGGAGTCTCGTCTTCATTGCTGATCTCCACTTCGGATGAGTAAGAACTCGCCAAAATACTTGCATAGGAAATCTTTCCGATAGTCAAGACCATGAATATGTTAATCCCAGGGAACTCTGGTGATTATACAAGTCTTTCCTATTAGAGAAGTTGTAGAAGAGTTTGACTCAGTGGGGCTAACAAGCGACCGAGTGATATTACATGCAATGGAAAATACTAATTACAATCATCCATACCAACCTTTTACTGATGATACCCGATTGGCAAGAAGCCAAAATCAAATTCGAAACTATATATAAATTGAGTCAAGACAGGGGTACACGTCGCGTCGGGTCGCCATCGGAAGAATATCCATTTTCTAGATTCTGGATTAAAAGTACAGAAGTCT